AAGTTGGTTCAGGTTCCACCTATAGTAACTGTTTTTACCCTTAAAAAGAAGCTGGATCTGGAAGGCACAAAACTCGTCCACAGGTGGCAACACATAACAAATAATCTGCCACTAATTACACTTTCTAGTCCTATTTACTAATAATTACTTCATCAACATAACCTTAGTTCCACACATAAATGCAACTACCCACTTCAATTTAGAGACAACTAGTAATATAATTCAACCAACTAAATTTTCATCTAGTTCCATAATTCATACTTCCAAGTAAGTATTTCATCATCACAGTCATTCCACCAAACATACCTCATTCAAGAATCCAAATAAAAATTCTAAGATTTACCCAAAAATAGTATTCATTACCTTGATACAATGGGAGATATCCAATCAAAAATCTTGAGCTGGAAATCATATTCCTTACTCTCAATCTGAAATTAAACCAATAATTTAAAAATCTTTAAAATGTAGAGTTTGTTTGGGAACTCTTCAAGGATTGGTATCATCAGTATTCATTACCTTGATACAATGGGAGATATCCAATCAAAAATCTTGAGCTGGAAATCATATTCCTTACTCTCAATCTGAAATTAAACCAATAATTTAAAAATATTTAAAATGTAGAGTTTGTTTGGGAAGGATTAAAATCAGATTAAAATTGAAAATATAGCCGTTATTATTGATTTTTATTAGACGGTGGACCTAATAACAACTATATTTTTAATTTTAATTGAATTAAAATAAAGAGTGAAATTCAAACTTGAAGTACCTCTTTACCTTCCTTCTTCTCACCCTCTTCCTCTTTTCTTCTTTCTCTTTCTTTTCTTCTTCTTTTTCCTTTCTTTTCTCGGTCTTTCTCGACTCTTCTCCGCCGGTTTCTGTCTTGTGTATATAGATGAGTGGAAAAATGGGAAATTGGTAAAGTTATTAGGCTTTTTGTACAGGAAGTCCTTTAACTTCCAAAGATAGACAAGTAAGTCCTCATCTTCAAATTTAATCTACCTAGAACCCTCATATATTTCCAAATATAAAATAAATCCCAACCAAATGATTTATTCCAATCCAATCCCTATTTGACATTGACTTTGATAATTCAACCCTTAACTTTGAAATAACTATTGACTACAAATATGGGTTGTAACAAATTGGGTATACTATCTTCCAATGATAATATGTAATGTTCTTAGCCCATAAAAGGATCACAGAATCGTATATCAATTCCAACAATTTGATTAAAAGAAATTGAATTCCAGCTAATAAAAACATTAAAGAAAATTCAGGATGTATTAACACAAGGATTTTGAATATCGTGTTGAGTCCCTTTTCGTATTCAAATACATTCTCAATACAATTAATAATAACATGGTAGTGTAATTACTTGGGGTGTTGCCACCTAGGCCAACATTCCACATGTCCTTGACATTGTGCCAAAGTTGTGATTGTCTACTCCTTTTCTTAACTTTCATATTGACTTGTCATAGTGCTACCTCATTTAAATGATATTCCCCAAGTTACCATGTTGTTATCCATAGCAATTATTTTCATATTTATATTCGATTGTGGCTTACTAAATGTCACGTTTTTTTAGCTCGAACATTTTTTGTCATCTTTCTTATTTTTTTATGCCAAGATTAAAAACAATATATAAATAATGAAACTTATTAGCTTGCTTTTATGCGCAATTTAGGCTTTGATGTTGTTTTCTATGCTTTGTTGGGTGATTCTCTGACACGGTTTTCTAAACACTTTAAGAAAAGGTTTCTGAATCATTCACATAAAAAGAATCTACTTTATTGACCAACTCAATTGAATGAAGGTTATGTTTCCAATATAGCTCACTGTTGTTGCATTATTTTTTTTGTCGGTGAGTCTATGGTGCTAATCCCTCGTACTCTTCATTATTTGCCGTTAATTATTTTTTATAGATGAAATGCACCATATGCTACTTTCCGGGGTTTGCTATTAGTATTTGATCAATAAAAAATATCGTCTACCTTGGTATGAGCTAGGTTGTATGTTGCTATCAAGAGTTCAGTACTACTACTAGATCAGAATAAAAGATCGACCTCCTTGAAGAATGAAGTTGAGTCCATTCGCGGATTTGAGTTGTCTCAACTAAAGAGAAATGATGAAAATCCTAGAAGATATATTATGCAATTGTTCCATTTGTACATAAATTAATCTGCCAAAAAACAAATGGGCCCCACCTTTGTGTCTTGTCTGTTGCATTTCTGTATTGCGCGCCGCGCACAGGACTATCCTTCGCGCAGGAGACCAAAACGTTGGTTTTGGCTTTGTGTGGGCTCACACACAAAGCCAACTTTTAATTAAATTTTTTTTTAATTTTTTTGAAGGGCTGTCAACGCAGACAGCCCTTGTTTAAAGTTTTTTTTTCTTTAACCTCAATTTTTGAAATTATTATGGGGATATCAAACGAAGTCGAAATATTGCATTTTTAATATTATATCGAAGTGCTCACGACCTAATTTCCACCATCTCTAATGGCGTACGAAACGGCCAACCGTAGCAAAAGTTAGCACTCGTCGAAGTAAGAAAAAAAAAAAAAAAAAGGACCCCACCTTTGTGTCTTGTCTGTTGCATTTCTGTATTTTTATTTATGTACACACAGCATACTTCTATATTATGTATGGAATAGTATTCTTTTCAAATTTAATAATTTTCTAGTATTCTTAGTTATTTGTTACCAAGATTTAATAAATTTTTTTATATTTTGTTAGATTTTTTTTACCTAAATTAGAATAATTTAAACAGTGTATAAATGGTTTATGCATTGTAATAGTTATATATTGATGTTGAGCCCCCGTTTGATGCTCATTCAAAGAATTTTTTTAGTGAAAATAATTTTTAAAATAGTCATTTTTTGAAGAATGTGGTTAAAAAGTAGAGAAAAAATTTGATTGAAGTACAAAATATTTTATTGTGAAAATATATAATTGAAAATGAATTTAGAAAAATAGAATTTTTGAAGAATGATACACACACAAGGACCAAATAAAAGTGATCCTCTCCGTAAGTCTATATATTCCCTTTCTATTCTCTTTTCCTCTCTCTTTCTAAGAGCCCCGTTTGACATCCATTCTCGTCCCATTCTCTTTCTCATTTTTTTTCTTTTTCTTCATTTCAACCACACATCCTATCAATAAAATAATATTACACATAAACCCAAAAATTCTTCTTACTTTTCAACCACACATTCTTCCAATCAATCACTATTTCAGAATTTATTTTTCACCAAAATGGGTGTCAAACACACCCTTAGTGCTTGTGTGAGACGGATTCTATTCAAATTTTCAGCATAAGGTAGAACGTTATACACAGTAAATGGGTCCCACTCAATAAAACAACCGTCTTTTTTGTAATGTGAAATCCCAAAAATGCCTAATTTGGTGAGAATTGAAAGAACTAACAAAGGGACACATAGAACCACTTTTACTATCCGGTAATTTTTGAATCATACATTGCTAGGGGTGGGTAAAAAAATCGAAAAATCAATTAAACCGACCGAACCAAACCGAGTCGGGTCGGTTTGAACTAAAAAATCGATTTGATTCAGTTAATTTTAACCATTATAAAGTCGGGTTGGGTTGGTTGCGGTTTAAGCAATCAACCCGTCAATTAACCAATCTAACCCACAAATACGTTTTTTTAAATTTTTTTTTCATTTTAAAATCATTTTCTTAAACTTTAAAAAAAAAACACAAATATAATTATTTCTTAAATAAATTATTTACCGTTTACGTTTTTTCTATCAAATCTCCAAATTTTAAAAGAAAAGAAAGTAAGAAGAAATGTTTATTATAAATTCCAAATTTAGATTGTATAATTTCTTTTCATTTTTTGTATAATTGTTTGTTGGTAACTATCGAATATATACGATAATTTTGGAAAAATCAACTCACTACCATTTATATAATATATATTATTGATACGCAAGCAAAAATAAACATAATATATATATAAATGTAAATTTTTTAACTCAAAATAGATACGTAATCTTTTTTAACTCGCACCAATGTTTAAACCGATTAACCAAACCGACCCAAACCGATTTGGTTTGGTTTGGTTTGGTTCGGTTAGATTTCAATGATTGGATTGGGTCGGTTTGGGTTGGAATTTATTCAAACCGACTATGTCGGTTTCGGTTGAACTTAAAACCAAACCAACCCGAACAATGCCCCTAGCCTATATATTGCTACTACAGTAGGACGCACAAGAATGTATAATGATCTAATTTCTAGTTAAAATGTTCAAACAATTGCTACCAGGCATAGGCTTAATCTCATTTTTATTCGATTGCATTCTACTTCAAAGAAAAAAAGAAAAAAAAATTAGATGACTTGAAGCTCAAAAGTCAAAATTTGTCAACGATTAACAAGGAAACTGAACCCTTGTTTGATTCTCAGTATTTTTAAAATATATTTTTCTCTCTATTTTTTTTCAACTATACATTCTTTACTCAAATTCAAAACTTTTCCATATTTTTCAACACATTCTTCATCAATCAATTATTCTTAAATGTATATTTAAGAAAAAAATTAGGCTCAAACAGGAAACGAGATCACAAGACAATTATTTACACATCAAGATCAGATAAACCAGATGTCAATAGTAGAAACATGAATTTACTCCGTCTTTCAGCATGAAGGAAAAATAATTTGCTGCCTACGTATTTCAGCTTGATCAAAAAATCCTAATCCCAAACATTTTGAAACAATAGATTATATACCATAGCAGAAGCTAAACAAGTATCTTAAAAAGCAGTCCAGTAAAAATAATCAAAAATAAATTATGTAACTAAGTATGAAATATTTGATACAGGATCATAAGTTTGTTTTATACAAATTTCTAGAAAAAAAAGAAGTTGAACGCGACAAATAGGCTAAACTTGCTTAGAAGACACAATAGTACGCACAATGGCTAAAGCAAGAATGTCGAGTATAGATAACTTCTAAGAGGACATCTCCATGATCTCCATATTACAGTTATCTACTCTTCTTACCCAATTTCAATGGAGGTAGTGTTCCGAAGGCCTTGTCCCAGAGTGGGGAAGTGATACCATAGCCTCTATCCTGGATGCGGAAATGATGATTCAAATGATATTTCTGCATGAAGTAAAAAATGAAGTTAGACCATGATCACTTTGGAAATTAGACCTTCTAGTAGATTTGTACTTCCAGGTTTTGGTGAGATTAGTATCAACTAGTGGTGCATATCATGAATGAACAATGTCGAGCATAAAAAATAAAAAATTGCTTAGGTATAAGTGAGCTGATGCAGGACCAATGCAATTCAAGCCAATAAGAAGAAAAGAACAGAAGAAGCAAGAACAAGAAGCTAAAGAAGAAGAAGAAGCCGTGAACAAAAGGGGAGGAAGAAGAAGAAGCAGGGAAAAGGAGAAAATTTGACAATGGCCAATCTCAATTTTAGTCAATCATCGTCTACTAGATTGTAATGTAAAAACTGTTTAAATAGTAAAAACCTAATTGGGTTTGGGCCAACCCACTATTACAAACTCAATAATAATAAAAACATAAATAATAAAGTCCAATAACAATAACATAAATAATAAAGCTCAATGACAATAAAAATAAATCTCGATGATATCCGCATCA